TGGAGGGGGGGGATGGGGGCCTGTATAGGCCAAACAATGCAGCAGACGCATGCATGATGGCTCAAAGGTGGAGCGGAGGTGGCAGTTCTGGCAACGGCGGTGGCGATGGCAATGGCAATGGCAATGGCAACTTGGACCGGCTATCGATTGAATTTATTTGCATTTCGCATGGGAAACGCCAAAAGGGGAAGAACGAGGCGGCCGAAAGAGGCCTGGTCAACAATTCTTTCGATTTTCATTTCCGTGTCCTCTCCAGGCACCACCAACAATAACAGCAACAACAGCAACAACAGCAGCAACAACAACAGCAGCTAGAAGGACAACAATACTGCTGGGCAACAACAAACATGGCGCAAAAATCGTTAGAAACCCTTTTGTTTAGCTGGCGCACGTTTGCAGGCGATTCCGAAGTCGGGGAAATAAAACGGCAGAGAAAAGTCCTGCGACGCAGGCTTTTTCCTTTTGGCCGAGGATGAGGAGCGGCAACGTCGCGTATGCGCAATTTTCTGAAAAAAACGGAGCTGGGCTTGGGGTGGCTACCCAATTGACCGAGGCCGAGGAAAGGACCTCCAGGGCTTCTAGTGGGTGGCTTCTAGAGAGGCGGTGGTGGTGGTGATGCTGATGCTGATGTGGCTACTTCTTTTGTTACCCCTCCGCTGGCGGTTACTCCTGCCCGGGAATCTTCTCTTCCCTTCCCTGGTTTTGTGGTGCCCGGCAGTCTCATTTGCCAGCTCCACTTTTTTTGTTGCGTGGCTCGTTGGTTTTGCGTGATCCACACTTTAAGCAGCCTTAGCCGCAGTGGCCGCCAGCAGAAATCCCTTTGAGGGGCGGCAAAAGGAAGCAGGGGCGGGGCTGGACTGCAGGATTGCAGCGCCAAGCGATTTGTTAAAGTTCACATTGTCAGAGCTTTGCTCTGGAAAATCCTTTCATATGTTACTAGAAAATATTTTAAAAATTAAAGAAGTTTAAAGTTTAATTTTTAAGAAAATAAAAGTTTATGTTACATTTTTGGTATATTTCGGATATTTTTCATTTTATTCTTAAAAGAATCTTATTTAAGAAAAATCTGGGGTAGGGATTGCAATCAGCTTCCATTTGTTATTCCTTCTTTCGATTCTGATTCTTTAAGTCCTCTACTTTTCCATATAAATGTTATCTTTTTCCCTTGTTTTTAGGCAGTCTCTGGCAGGAAGAAGGCTTGAAGAGGCTTGGAGGAGCTGCGTTCAAGAGCAGCTTGGAAAAACTGGCAAAGAATGAGAGTTTTTTTGCTGGATGACCGCAGAAAGGCGCAAGGCTTTCCAGCCATTTTCCGGCATCTCCCACATCCTTTTTGCCCTTTTTCTCACTCTTTTCCGATTCCTTCTCCTCCTCTTGACAGTGGCATACGGGTGGTCCCACCTTACTTCTATTTTCATTTGGAAACCATGCTCTTTTCCAAAGAGACTTTCGATTAATCATCGTTATTTGGTAATCAATATTCAAGGATGGAGCTTAGACAGGTGAGAGGTTATCATTTCAGTTTATTTAAGATAATTAATCTATTAGAGAAAAGAATAAGAAGACCTGTAGGTGTTTGATCCGTTAATATCTTTTCATTTCATATTATTTCTTTGCTCAGAGATTAAGGTGTCATAACTGAGCGGAAGATCGGTTTAATGGTAGATGGAAAGAAATATATTTAAAATATGAACTATCACAAGATATATTGCAGATATTTCCCTTCATATTAATCAGAGTTAAATAAAGATTTCTAATTCAAAAAACTTTCGAGAGTATTTCCCATATCGACATTGCGATTTCGAACTCCGGCATTCAGTGGCTTTGGCCATTTCCTGTCGCCATTTCTTTGGCCATCGCTTTCTCTTTTGACTGCAAGTGTGTAACGGTATTTTTTCAGCACTTTGTGCTGGCAATTTGAACTCTTTCGCTTTGCCAGCGGATGTCCTTTGGAGGTCCTTTAACGTGGTTTCCACCCCGCCGCCCTTGCCACTGCCACTGCCAGTGCCCACACGCTTTCTTCACGCTGCTCCGATAATTTCACTTTGAATTTCCTCATTGCAGTTTTTCTGGAGGACGGAAGCGCGCTAGTTTCCTTTCCCAGCGGACAGGTTAGTTTTTCCCGCTGTTTTTCCAGCAGCCATCTTCGGACTTGACAAAGCGGAAAGGCCATTCATTTCCGCCTCGAAAGAACCGCCGCGTTTTGCCCTTTTCCGATTTCAGGTCATCTCCCTTAAAGGGAAGGGAAGGATCACCTGCCGAAAGTAATGATTTTTCAATAGGCGATTCAAAATATTGGCGGGATCTTCACTATTTCATTGATCTGCCAAGAGATGGATCGTCATGTTCCTTTTGCGGTTGATTGTTGGTATACAAGTAAGAACTTTGAGAACAGAGACAGATAATCGATCTAAGGAAAACTCAATAGATTTTACTTGATAAATAAATCATTTCCGATGTTCGGTTAACTGAGCAAGATTTGTTGCATACTTTTCGGTGATCGATTATTTTAAATTAACTTGAAGATTTCAAGAAAATAAAGAAGTAAGACAGAAATAGGAAATAATAAGAAAATGGAAAGCTCTTTTGCTTAAATACTGAAAATATTTAAAAGTTTAACGTTTCCTAACTTAAATAGGTTTGGTTTTTGGGAAAGCTATATTCTTCCCTTAAAGATATTCATTTCCTAAATATGCATTAAAAACTTACAAATATAATATACTGGAAATCCCTTTCATAGTTTTGACTTTTTATTCCCAAACCAATCGATCAGTTTGGGTACAAAATCCCTCTCCTAATCTCGCTTAAATTGAATTTAAAACCGAGTCGAGCTGGCCTGGTGACAGGTGACAATATAAATCAGAGGAGTGGAAGCCCGGTTTCTTTTTTGCCCAAGGCTTTTCCCAGGAAAAGAGGCTCATCTCAAGACGTCAAGGACCCACAAGAAAAAAGAAGGAAAAGCACCGAAGAATGGGGAGAAGCGGGCCTCTTGTCGCCGATTCGCCAACGAAGGCCTCAAAAAATAATTTGCGAAGTGCTACGCGTTTTTTAGCCCATGTGTGCACCCCCGATTTATATATGCAGATATCTATATATAAAAGTATTTGGCCACACACACATATATATATTTATATATATATATATATATAGATATTTCGAGTGGTCGGGCCAATCGGAGTTGAGCACGAAGCTTCCAGAGGCTCGTGGAGGCGCCCGAATGGCAAAAAGGTCAAAAAGAGAGAGGGCAAATGGAATAAAATATGCAAAATATACAAAATAGCAACACAAATACAAATACAGCTCGGCCACAGTCACACACACGCCGGCGAAATAACGGGTGATTTATTTTAGTTGTTGTTATTGGCTGTGCGCAAAACAATAACAACTACATATAGATATAGGGGCCGAAGGCAACAACTATTCATATTAAAAATGCGTTTCGTAGGCGCCGCCTACCGCGTGACGTCACTAGCTGCACTTGCTGCGTCTTTGCCTCCTTTTCTTTCGCTTTTCGCTTTTTGTTGTTGTTATTCTCGTTCTCTTTTTATGCTCCAAGTTTTCGTTTTCGAGAGGGTCGCCAAGGGGAAGAGGAAGCAGAGAAGAGAGTGCAGCCGAAGCTTTTCGTTCGTTTTCGCTCGTCTTTATGCCGTTTTTTTTGTTGTTGCTCCCCCTTCTGCCGGTGTACGAATGTGAGTGTGTTTGTAGGAGCAAGCAGCTCGCTGTCTCCCTCGCACCCATGCCCTCTTACGGAAGTTTAAGGGGCGTGGCCAAGTTGAGTGTGCTGTGTTGCTGTCGCCACTTTTTCTCTGCTCTTTTTTGCCATAGTTTCTGTGCCTAAGCAGCAAAAGCAGCAACAACAAGCGGCTAAGGACGAGGCTGATGGAGGCGAAGAAGAAGAAGAAAGAGGGTTGGCAACTATTTTGAAACACTTTCTTACTGGACATTGGCCAGTTTCTCTTTCTTGCTGAAGTTGTTGTAGCTGTAGTTGTAGTTGTAGTTGCTGGCGTTGGTGTTGTTCTTGCTGCTGCTGCAGCTCAGTTGCAAGTTGCTGTTGCTGTTGCTTTTCTCTTCAAGCTGCAGGTGTAGGCTGCAACTATTTTCGGGTTTTTTTGGCTTTCAGCTTTTTGAGTTTACGTCTCACAAGATTTGAAAAAACTTTTTTTGAGACTAAAAGTTACTATTATTAAATAATCTAAAGTACATTTTTGGGCTACAACACGATCAAGTAACTATTACTGTTAAAATATATTCAAATGTGAGAATGGGAAAGGAGTTCTAAGTCAGATATTCAAAACATAATCATGAGATGAAAACTGAGATATAACTCTTTGAATTTTACAGTTTCTTTTAAGGTAGTAAGATCTACTTTAATTGAATTTATAAGGTGGATAATACAAGATTAACATAGAAAACTTAAAAATTAATAAACAACAAATTGGAAATATAAACTGTTTTAATATTAAAAACATTCTTTTGAAGACATTACATCCAAAAATTATATAAAATTATAAAAACAGCAAACAACTTATTCTAATCTGTTCTTCTTTATTATTTTCTTTTTGTGGTAAACCTGTTTCTAAAATTAAAAATAAACAAACAATTTATTTTTCACAATTTTTTGAACCATAACCTCTTATTATTGATTCACCAAAAATTGTATATTTTAACATTTAACCAATAAGAAACAAAAATTCAAAAGCATTAAGAAAACATTTCATGCTAGTTTGAAAAATCCAAAGTTATGAATCGGAAATACCTCCAAAGACCCGAAAAGCAAAGAGCGCCCTCCTGCTCATTCCCACTCTTTCCATCACTACCCTGCCACTCTCTTAAGCAATCACTGCTCTCTTACCGAATTCGCCGCACACAAACCGGAAAACAGAACGCCGGCGCGCAGCGAGAGAGCGGGCAGAGCAGTCGGCGTCGAGTTTCATTCATTCGCAGCGAGCTCAGCGGTTTGAAATTCGTATCTTTCAGTTCGTATCTTTCAGTTCGTATTTGTATCTCTCAGTTCGTTTTTAACTTTCGGCGTGAGTGCATCGTTTGTTATACGGCCACTGGAAGGCAGCAACAACAACAACAGAGACAGCAAGGCAAAAGCAACAACAAGTGACGTGCAACAACAACAAGAACGGGAAACAAGAAAGAAGAACAGCATGTGTTGCATGCAGCAGTGAACAAATACAAATACATATATATATATACATATATGAAAGAATAAACAAAACATAAACACAAGTTTTCTATTAATATTTCACACAAGGAAAGTGAACTGAAAATCATAAAAAACGAGACCGAAAAGTGTATGTGTGCGGTGATTATTATATTAATTATAGTGCCTTATTTATGACAAATGACTGGGCTGCAGTGGAAATCGATTTTGTACCTCCACTATATACTGCTCTATATATATAATATATATAATAAGTGGAAATAAGAACCCATGGCCCCTCCCCCACCGCCTTTCCATCACACATTTTCCGCGCATTTTGCTTGCGCTTCCAAAGAAATTGTAATTTATTAATTTATAACACAAGCCACCCAGCGAAGAGGTCGTAAAAAGCAATGTTGCTTGGTCTTTTCGGGCGCCCAGGAAATTAAGAAGAAAACCCACTCGAAGGAGCAACTTTTCCGACTTTTCCGAGTGGGTGGCACGCGCCAAAAACAGTTTGTAAACATTTTCCCCACACACACACACACAGCATGAACTCAGCAGCGGGAAAATCCAGACAGAAAGCCAGCTCTCTGCCCCTGTAATTTATTACTTGCTGCATAAATAATAAATAAGCGTTAATAAATAAATACAATATGCAATATATAAATGTGTCTGAACGCCCACTCGCCTCCCCCTTTTAGCCAGTGTGTGCCTGTGTGTTGGTGTGTGTGTGTGTGTGTGTGTAGCCACTTTAAGGATCCACAACCTCGAGACTGAATTAAATAAATAAATACAGAAATAATAAATAAATAAAGTGGCTGCCTTCTGCATTTTTTGCTGTCAGCAGCTGCGCTGGCTATAAATAATTAAACATAAATAAAGTATGACGAGGAGGAAGCAGGAAGCGCAGTGGGGGAATTCGGGAATTCGGGAAATCGAAGGAGTTTTCAGTTAGCTAAGACATAGAAAAAGTGCCCTTGATAAAATGTGAAAATCAGTTTGAAGTCTCGACTTACGAGTGACGCGATTCATTCTGCATTTGGGCAATTTAGTTATTTATTTATTTGAGGCCGAGCTCGTCTTCGAGCGAAGCATCAAATTTAATGCGGGCAAAGGCAGAGGCAGAGCAGCCTCGATAAAGGCAACAAACATGAATAAATAAGGGGAATAACAAAAGGCAGAGCGCCATAACAATAAACCAAAAGTTGCCAAAAGGAGAGAGGAGAGGAGTTCGTCCGCCTCTTCCTTCGAAGGGATGGCTGGTGGCTCTTCCTCGCCAGCTCCCTCGGCGACGAGACTCTGGCGGAACAACAATAAAATAAACAAAAATAATAACAGTCGACGACTTTCGGGGGCTCCAGCCACAAGATTTAATTGGAATGAAATAATAATAAACATAAAAAGTAGCAGGAAGAAGTATTATAATAACAATAATAATAAATATAATTAAATTTTACGGCGGCGGAGGAAAGTTTTCAGCTTCAGCTTCCACCCCGAACGGAACGGAAACCTCGCCCGGCGGCCCAGCCCAGCGAGCAAACACATAAATTAAAATTATACAAAATATTTAAATAAATATAATTACTTTTGGCTCTCTCTCTCTCTTTCGCTCTTTCGCTCTGCTGCCATAAATAATAATATTTAATTAAATATAAATCTATAGACGGGCGACGGCCGTGCATGCAAGTAGATCCAGAGACAACAATACAAAATAAGCAATAATCGCACACACGATTACAAAGCCACTCCATATGCCAGCTAAATATATATATGTATATCTGTTCAGATATGTATATATATATATATCGCATATATATACAACAATGGGCCAAAGAGACTACAAATAATTGCAGCTCAGTAATATAAATTAAGCCAAATTAAACATAAATAAATGTGTGCTTAGCTTTTAGCTAATAAAGCACATTTCTGGCCTGAGTAGGTGGTGGGCAGTGGGCGGTAGGCGGTGGGCAGTGGGCTGGCAAATACTAAACATAAATTAATAGAAATTCATGGAAATTTTCGACTGTCGGGGCAGAGGCAGGGGAAGGGGCAAGATTAATAGGCTTATTTAATAGAGTTATGACTAAGAGCAAATGCGCTCGCTGAATCAGCTTGATGCGGCTGAAACACTTGCCTCGATATTATTGCTATAGATTCCGATATAGGGGGTTTATGGGGGTTTACTTTCAAGGAATTATACAAACACAAGCGATTTCCTTGATAGCCAGAACTCAACGTAAACATTTTCATATAAAGTGGAAACTCAGAAGAGGAAATGAGATACAAATCGATATTGAGGCGGGTTATTATATTCTCGTTTATTTATTCAAATACTTTAAGAGCCCTCTAAGAGTCAAGAAAATAATGGAAAGATATTTAGTTCTACTTATTAAAACCATTTCACAGTGAGATGAAAGCAACTCCCCGAACCTCCTACAAAAACCCCTTCAAGTCCATCTTCTTCCCCAGAATCATCTAGATTTTTCCTCTTCTTACAGCGCTTGAACTGCTCCCAGGAAAAGTTCTCGTAAAGCCCCCGAAAATGTGTTAAGAGGCACGCGGAAAACGTGAAAATCAACCGATAAGAACGGAAAACGCTTTATCAGCACCATGGACATGACCAAGCAGATCGTGGACTTCGAACTGAAGTCGGAGTGCGAGGTGGACCAGTACGAGCCCAGTGACTACACAATGCCTCCATTGGATGAGCCCAAGGTGGTAATGGAACCTCAATTCGAGGAGCCAGAGGACCTAGACATGAAGTACTCCCCCGAGAGGATGACAGAGCCCACTTCGGAGGAGCAAAAGGAGGTAGCTAACCAGCCAGAAAAAGAAACAGAGTCCTTGGGACACATGAAATCCCCCGAGAAGGACATGGAATCAGTGCTGGTGAAGCCCAAAGAGAGTCCGGCCAATGATGAACCCCTGACCCCCCCACCACGACCTTTGACCTCTAGTGAAGTGGTGGGTCTCCGGGATCCCGACGATCCCGAGTTGCGCCTGCGCCTGGAGGCCAAGAAGTCGCGCTCCCTGCCAGTCTCCCCACAACCCCAGCAAAGTCTCAAGATGGCCGGCTCCGCACTCTTCGAGTTCGGCCAGAGATCCTCTCCAGCGGAGGCCAAGATCAAGCCAAATCCCGAGGTGAAACCTCCCAGGCGGAAAATGGCCCCTCCCAGTGGCGGTGGGGATAACCAACAGTTCTGTTTGAGGTGGAACAACTACCAGTCCAACCTGACAAACGTCTTCGACGAACTCCTGCAGAGCGAATCCTTCGTGGACGTGACCCTCTCCTGCGAAGGGCACTCGATCAAGGCCCACAAGATGGTCCTCTCCGCCTGCTCACCCTATTTCCAGGCCCTGTTCTACGACAATCCCTGCCAGCATCCCATCATCATAATGCGGGATGTCAACTGGACCGACCTTAAGGCCCTCGTGGAATTCATGTACAAGGGCGAGATCAATGTCTGCCAGGATCAGATAAATCCCCTGCTGAAAGTGGCCGAGACCCTAAAGATCCGGGGTCTGGCGGAGGTCAGCGCGGGAAGGGGCGATGGAGGCGCCTCCGCTCATCCCATGTCCGTCTACGACGAAGAGGAAGAGGAGGAGGAGGAGCTGGCCTCGGCCACAGCAATCCTGCGACAGGACGATGAAGCCGATCAGGAAATGAAGGCCAAGAGACCGAGACTTTTGCCCGAGGGCGTCTTGGATCTGAACCAAAGGCAGAGGAAGAGGTCCAGAGATGGCAGCTATGCCACTCCCAGTCCCTCTCTGCAGGGCGGAGAGACGGAGAGTACCGAGAGGGGATCCTCCGCCACTCCTGGACAGAACCAGAGCCAACCTCTGGCCATGACCACTTCGACGATAGTGCGCAATCCCTTTGCCTCTCCCAACCCCCAGACCTTGGATGGCAGGAACAGTGGTTCCACCAGCGGAGGAAACCAGAGGAACTCGCCACAACCGTCTTCGGGCCACAGCAATGGAAACAGCGGTGCCGCCATGCACTCTCCACCCGGAGGCGTGGCCGCCCAGTCCGCTCTGCCACCCCACATGGCCGCCGCCGTGGCAGCTGCCGCTCACCATGCCGCCGTCGTGCCCCCGCCCCCGCCAGCCATGCACCATCATGCCGCCGCCACCGCTGCCCAGCAGTTGGCCGCCCACCATCAGTTGGCCCACTCGCATGCCATGGCCAGTGCCCTCGCAGCCGCCGCAGTTGGCGCGGGAGGCACAGGTTCCGGCAGCGGATCTGGACCCAGTGCTCCCACTGGAGGAGCAGGAGCAGCGGGAAGCGCCTCCGCTTCGTCAGTGGGCTCCCACCACGATGACATGGAAATCAAACCAGAAATCGCCGAGATGATCCGCGAAGAAGAGAGGGTGAGTTTGGCAAATGCTTTTTGATATTATAAAAGAGTTAATCTTAGGATTAGTTTTAGTAAGGAGAGAGATTTCGTTTTAAAAATACTTTACTTTAAGGACTAAGACAGTTTAATATCTATAAAATATTATTAATAATATCAGAAATAGAAGTGACATCATAGTAAGACCTTTAAATTATAAAAAGAAATGTGAGCTCAGCCGTGACTGAATAAATATAATGACTAAGGTAAATTAAAAGTGAGTACGCTTCTGTGGAAAGTGCCCCAAGCAAGTAGACTTTTCCAGAAAGGAAAATATATATTTAGGTCTGTAAATGACTTCTTGGAAAATTAAAAAATGTAGAAAGCCCATAAATTGAATTTGATAAAACGGAAGTGACTCACAGACTAAACATTTTGCACATTTCTCTATGAATTTCTGAGTAACTAAGATCAAAAGATCAAAAGAGATTCCAAAGATCGGGGATCTATAAGTTTATAGAGAAGTATCTTAAGGGTTAGGTCTCAAATGAAGTCATGGAATGAGCCAGCAGATCAGAGATCTCAGTGACTAATGATGGTGTTCCACTTGCCTGGAAATAAACACATTGCCATAGATCTCAGAACAACTTGTCCTCCGATCAGCTACAATGTAAGCTTACGATCATAAATATTAATAAATAATTGCTGTAATAATACAGATATGGCATTATATTATATATATAAGCTGTCTGTAGATACAGAACCTAACCGAGCATAGACCTGCAAAGTTGGTTCCATTTCCCCGTCGAGCCCGCATGACCCCCGGCGACCCCTTTGCGCCGTCGAAGGCTGCGCAAAAGCAGCCCGTTTGCATAATGCGCATACGCCGGGTACGCTGGGTACACCGAGTGCAACTGCAAGACAGACAACCGCTTAGTTTCAGTTTTCCTTTGATTTCACTGGCTGGGAAATGCATGCATATTAACGAAATCTTTTGCATTCACCTTTGGGCCTCGTTGTTATTTCTATTAGATTGCAAATTAAAGCCGATTTACTATTTGTATAAGAAAAGCGGGGAAGAACGGGGCTGGGAGGGGGCGAGGTCGCGACATTAAGTGCGTCAGCGACTTGAAAAATAATTCAGCAACATTTAATGCTAATGACGAAAATTGCACAATGCACGCATACCAAGGAAAGGGAGGATGAGGATGAGGATGGGGATGGGGATGGGGATGGGGAAAAGGGGGAGAAAATCAACAGAATTATAAACAATTGGCAGAAATTGATGGCAAGGCAAACAAAAGTCGCACAAATATTTGATTTGTTCGTCTCGTGCATCTGATTCTCCATAATTGCAACTGCAACTAATGCGCCTCCGATTTTCGCTCGCTGCTGCACTTTGGCTGCATTCTTGTCTCCGGCTCAGCCATTTATTTGTTATTTCTGCGATAAACACTTAATACCTGACATTGAGCATTATTTTTCCACGTTACTTGCCACTCTAACTGTTTGCATATGCATCCAAACTTATGTAAATAAATCAATGCAAGCGGCCGCCTGATGAATATGAATGTTCGCCGACCACAAATTCAGGAATTTCAATACGAATTTAATGATTGCATAGTCAATAGTAGACACAAAGAGCTTCTAAAACTAGAACTCTGGATCGTACGTATATATATATATAGTTTCGATATGGAGACAGCTGAGCTGGCTGGGAGATGGGTGGGAAAACCCCTTACTCCCTGCTTTTTGCTTGCACAATTTACTGTCCTTTGTTAATTTATTGAAATGAAATGAGAAATAAAATCAAGAAGAACTAGACGGCAGTAAAAGCCAGAAGTATGAGTTGCCACACCATTCCCCCCTCCACCCAACAAGCCACCCAAGTGCTTGACGACGTCACTGGGAAAATCCACAGAAGGAAGCTGCGGCTGAGAGCCTGTTACCTAATAGAGTCCAACTTTTGCCTCAGTCAATTCCGAGAGTTTTCTCTTGGCGAGTTTCCCCACTTTCATTCATAGAACACACACAGACACGCAGCGAGCGGAAAAACTCACACACAGGCACTCAGAGGGAAAGAGAGCGAGATGCGGAGACACACACGCAGCATTGAGGAGACCCAGCAGTCAGGAAAAGTCGCAAGAAACTCGAAATCAAGAGGGCTCATCCCGCCCCCCAAACTTTGCTGTGCGAGTTCCTTGACTTTGGCTTTTCTTTTGTGCGTTTGCGAACTGTTTTTGCAAGAAAATTACTGAAAATTGCCAAGTGCTGAAAGTTCTTTGACAGCCAAGGGCGGCCCCCATCTCCGCACCCACTTTTCCGACTTTTCCCCCGCTTTCCCAGTGTCTCTTTGTCTCCGGCGTTAGTCATAATTGCTCCATGTGTATCTCCAGTTCTTTTCGGCTTCTCCCAGCTGGCTTTATGCAAAGCAGGTTGGTTGAACTCTTTGGAGAAGCAGAGGAAATGGAAATCTGACCGTGTGAATCTTTCCTTTCGGGGTCCGAACGGCCCAGCTTAAGCCAAATGTCATCGGTTGTTTCCTGTGCGGTCCGCAGCTCATTAGAGCCGTTTGATTGATTCGAACCGGGCCGGGAGCCGGGAAATAAATCAAATTTATGTCCGCTGGTTTTACATAAACTTGCCGATCGCTGTCGGCCACCCGGAGGGCTAGGCCAGCAAGGGAAAATGAAGGAGGGTGAGGAAGAAGGTTTCCATTAAGGCCCCTTATCTGCGGAGCAACCAGAGGCCTTTTCCATTGGCCAGATTAAAGGATTTCGTAAGGCGGGCGGCACTTTGGAATTCAGTCAGTCAGTCGCCCGAATTATATGTGAATTCTATAATTTACGAGGCAATTTCGATAATTTCTTTAGTTTGTGGTCGGCCATAAACGTTGCAGCAATTGTTCTTGCTGGCCAGGTTATATAAAGGGAATTTTCGGTGCCCGAACGCTCCGCACTCGAAATAAATAAGTAATTTATTTTATGGCCAACCCGGGCTGCCATAAACCCACATAGATCTTATCGCCGCGCAAATAATACAACAATATAATCATAATAACAATTTGTAATCTTAAGTCGCGTCGATGCCAGCTCTTGGCTTTGGTAATTTCCCTGATAAGATTTCCCTCAGCTCTCTGGCCTTCCTTTTTTATTTTTTATTTTTAATTCTCTATATTGGCGCTACGTGATCAGTGCTCTTGTAGTTCTTATATTAACCACTGATAAGCCGGAAGGCTGGAATGATGACTCGTGGCCAGTGACGCAGTGACTCGCGAATTTGGCCAAATCATCTTTGTATTTACAGGCCGACGGTGATTGTTTAAATAAAGAAAAAACGATTATCGTATACGAGGGACAATAGAATTTTTATAACACTATATATATGGGGTTTTTTGTTAGCCGTTTTTTACCATCCAATCATGGCCCAAGTCCGTGCACTTTCTGCCGGGTAATTATAGAAAAATATTCGGCTAATTGGCCTGTGTTTATAAGTTTGGTATCAGATTGGTTGGTTTATGGCGAAACACCTTTGGAATCTGATTTGTTTATCGATTCTTGGATAGTGCTTAATAATAGTTTATAGCGGGGACTCTAATATTTCACTCTTAGAACTAGAACTTGGCTAAGCTGAAGGTTTTCCAGGGCAATGCCCATCCCCAACCCCTCCATTTCCCCACCATGTTCCAGCTGGTCTCCTTCGCTTGTTTTCCCCGCGTCAAGTTTTGTTATATTTCCATTTATTTGGCTGCCTTTTGTTACACTTTATTTATTTATTCCGCATTTATTGTGGCCCCCAAACACACACTTTTCCGTCGTTAGTGCAGTCGCGACTGTTGTCTTTATGACGACTGCCATGGCGATGACGATGGCTGTGATGATGATCACGATGATTATTATTGCCATAGCCAGTTTCTCTGTCTGTTTCTGCTGCTCTCCACTGTTTTCATTGTAGGAAAGACATAAGAAAATTATAGGTATCTGCCCTTATGGCGCTGCGCAGCGGAGCGAAACAATAAAATATAAAATAAAATATGTACGACTCTGTTTACGCAATTACAAGCGGACAAACACAGGCGACCGACCAGAGATACAATATTTATAACCGTCAGATACGAGAGCTGCAGCCACAGATACAGATATGGACAGAGATACAGATACATTTACAGGTACATACTATGTGTGTGCATCTTGCAGATACTGCAACAATTAGGGGCACAGATAACGGTGTAAATGAAAACCGAAATTAAAGAAAATTGTATCGCATCTGCTAGTTTCTCCACCGCCGCCGCCGCAAATGGCATTATAATGTGTTATAATTCGAGGGTACTTACACCGAAAGAAAATGGCTCGCTATCAGTGGGGCAATGAGTAATTTGTTATTAGGAAACTCAGGTGCTTAAGAAAGTAAGTGCTCAAAGAAAGATAGTCATGAGGGTTAGTTCGAGGGTTAGTACTAAGTTTTCGTTCATTTCAGTACAGAAGGTACACATATTTCCTTTACTTTTGCTAAAAATTAAGGCAATTTTCTGCCACTTTTCTCCACTATCATCATCATTTTTTAGCCAGGATAATGACAAACACGAATTACGGCGGCAGTGAGTGCGTGGAAAAGGAAAGCGCTCAGTAAACGCCTCTAATTTGGCAATCAACTAAAAAAACTCTTTTCCCCCGTTTTGCCAGCACTCGTAGTTAATGGCACCACCCACCAGTCAGCCTTTTCCGCCCACTCTGCATCTGCAGCAGCAGTAGCAGAAGCAGCAGCAGTAGGAGCACCACCACCCACTTGAAAAGTGAGTGCAACTGCAGTTTCTTCTTTATGCGAATGCAATTTGCTGGAAAGGTTCGATTGCCGCAGCGGCACTCCATGCGGTTTTCCTTTTTCCAGCCGCTTGAGTCCTTTTGTGCATCCTTTGGTAGGCGGATAATTCGGCGTGAAATTAGCCAGCAAAGTGAGCGAGATCGAGTGGGCTTCCAGTGGGGAATTTTCCGACTCCAAATGGAAATGCACATCCCAAAGATTTTTGGTGTTTGTTTA